ATTCGTATCATTTACTCCCCTCGCGCCCGAGTGGACAAGGATCCATTCGGTGGCTGCTTTCTGGTTGTTGGCGACGGCCCAGTACAGAGCACTTCGACCGAAGTTGTCTCGTTGCTCAAAGATCTTGGGACCCTCGAGCGCAAAGAGATGTGACAGGCAACACGTGTTGCCACTCATGGCAGCATAGAAGACCGGCGTCAAACCATCAGAGTCCACGGCCTGCAAGGATGCCCCAGAGGCCTTCAGCACTTGCATCATCTGCACGCCCAAACACGGCTTCATGCGCTTCTGGGAAAAGGATATTCCCAGGTCTGCAACGATGCGGTGCGCAGAATGATGCAGAGAGCTTGGATTCTCAATGCAGAGAGACATGGCGACGTGGGGAAGGCCAACCTCGATCCATCTTTGGCTGCCTGCACCGGCACAGGAAAATCCAGTTCCCTTGGGGAGACCCCGCATGGCCTGCATGCGGATCGACATGCTGGCGGGAGCACCCTCTGCGAGCAACCGGGCAACTTCGGGCACGTCGCCCGACTTCACGGCGCCAGCGAGGGAGGCCCTGGTTTGCAGCCATCTCTCACGCTTCCTCGCATGGGCCGCCTGCTGCTCGGGAGTCATCGGTGAAGTGAAGCTCGGCTGGTTCAAAGGCGGCTCGGCTTTAGACAAGGCCTCGGCATAAGGAGCATCGTCCTCCAGCTCAGAATCGCAGACGTCTTCATCTGCGCATGCGGCCCTCAAGGCCCAAGCCGCCCCTTCGCTCCTCATGACCCCGAGGAACCACCAAAGAACCAAATCTCTGCCCAGGTGGACGTCAGCAGCGCTGCGGCCAGCGGAACATCACTCAGAACCCCGGGCTTGTCTCCACCGAGGAAGTCACTGGGCGAGCGGTTCTTCTCGCCTGGAAGGATCTGAGCTCCATAGTGGGATGTAAGGAGGCCACAGATGTCCTGCACAAGCGGACCCAGCAAGGAGGGCCTCCCTGCTGCCTCCCGAATCTTCAGGCTTAGGGCCAGGTAGTCCAGGTAGTCCGTGGGCTCCAGGAGGTCCACACCCTTGCGCAGGATCTCCGGAAGAGCGGTGACAGCCTCACTTTCAACGAGCTCCTGGCCCAGGAGAAGACACGAGGCGCCCTCTCGCAGTCGCTGGCTCTTGCGAAGCAGCAGGCGTCTTGATCTGCCCACGGCCTTGGTCGTCCGAGAGCATCTCGTTGCAGCGAGGAAGGCCAGGTATGCGCACTCCAACGAAGGTCTCTTCTGCGGGAGGACGAGGATGCTGCACCCAGCACGCGAGACCTCCGTGGGTCCGCGAGGGGATGAGGAGCCTGCTGTGCCAGCCGGGATCATCTGAAGTCAGCGGATGCAGGGCCACTGACCCAACATCTGTCGCAAACGTCTTTCGCAGTTGAACGGAAAGGAGTGGCTTTTGAAGGACGTGCCGCAGCAAGTTCGAGATTCTTGCTACATCGTGTTGAAAGAAACGCGCCTGGCGATTTCCATACACACATACTATCTCTGCATGCGCGTGCGCAACTATCCGAAACTATCCATCTACTGATTCGTGTATTTATCTGTTTACAAGTTTGGTCATCTACATGTCGAAATAAACATACAATACGAGTTCCCGAGGTTATGATTCTCATAGCTCTAGATCAACTTATTTTGATGCGGCCGTGCAAGCTTGGGCTGCTGCTGGCCCAACAGGGACTCGGGTGGCTTGGAATGGTTCGATCCCGAACAGACCTGCGAATGGACACGCTTCAGGCTTAACTTAAGGGTTTACGAATCCCTAAACCCTGAACCCGTTAGTTTAGGGTTTTCTAAACCCAACACCTTAGACAAAACACACCCTAAGGGTTCATGGCGCCCCAGGCCGTGGAGCTAGACTCGACGTAGCATTTGCAATGCCGTATCTGAACACTCGGGCCTTCTTCAGGCCGTAGTAGAACTCACGGATGCTCACCTCACGGCGCTCTTCTTTTGCAAGCCCTTCTGTTCTGCCGCAGCTGATTGGCGACAAGCTACGCATCCAAATTTCAAGTAAGGCGAGAGGACAGTAGTGTCCGGCGGGTCCTGAGAAGTTCCAGGCATGTCCGGACAGGCCCTGCGCGTGCACGATTCCCTACTCTCTCCACAACTGAGCTACTTGCAAATGCAGTGGATCTTGTCTGAGGCTTCCGGAAGGTCCGGATGAACTTTGTTTTCTGAGCAGACAGGGCCATGACAGGGTACATGTCCAAAGCGAGCAGGTTGCACCTTGAGCATGGCCGTCATTCTCGCCGCACCGGCAGTCTCGCCCCCTTTAAGGTAAGTCTGCGGGCCTAGCCCACATGCACCGCTGCTGCACAGGGCTACAATGAAGACACGTGGCAGCCGCTAAGACCAAGGCTCGATTTATAGCCTCAACATCACCGGCGACTAAAGATTGCCCACCATCCTTCGCAGCAGCCGTGAATCTTGGCAACCAGCCCATCTTCTTCAGGTCGGGCACATCGTAAGCCTCCGTCCACCCGGCAAGGCTCTCCAAACTTCAACCGTCTACTCCAGGCCGTCTATGGCATGCACCAGTACCGCTGGGATGAACCGATGCAATGCTGTGAACCGCTGCTGGCGCACCTTTCCTGATGCGGCTGGTGGTAATGGCGGCCTTGTCTGGCAGTTTGAGGAAGGTTATGGTAAGAGGCCAGTTCAGCCGCAGCTTGCAGCTTTTGACATCACGGTGAAGCCGTGTGTGGAATTCCCGGTACCAGGCTTGCAAACGGATCATTTCTTTGGCACTACGCCCCTGGGCTCTGGCAATTTTGCTGGCGCAGGGCGTGGGGCGGCAGGCTCTCCCAGTGCCTGATTGGCTCGCGCAAGCCATGGGCTTTGAGTGCAACTGCTCTGGCTTCAAGAGCAGAACAAGTTGGCGCCTTGGCCAAGGTCTGCATTCCATTGTTCGTCGATGGAGAAGACCCTGATGAGGACACGCCGTACTCAGACTCAATGGTTGAGACATATCGCCGAAAGCCACCTTTGTTCTTCGCCAACGCTTCGTCAACGTCGTACAGCGTGTGTCCCGAGAAGGTGCGCACCTGCTTCAACGATCTTCAACGAACGTAACTCTGAGCTGTGTGTGCAACTTGCCACATGCCACATGTGCAGACTGACTGAAGACTGCCATAACTGCTCCTTACCTTCTTGCGTACCCTCCCCGAGAGATGCCTCAACGCCGCCCTTCTTGGCCAGCTTCTCTATGGCTGTGTCACGCTTCCTCACCATCTCTCAGGAGAGCTTCCCAAGAGAACTCCTACATCCACCGCAAACCTTTGGCTCTGAAGGCCCATCCTTGCATAGGGCTCGGTGTCCTTCTCCCACGCGATGAGTCGCGGCTTGGCCTCGGAGTGAAAGAAGCGATCAGTCTCACTCCAGGATCTCATGACCCTGGCTTGGCTCCATGCAGCCAGAAGCGGCTTTCCACTTTGGAAAAGCTTGCCAAACACCTCCTGGCGAGAATGCGGGCACAGGCTCAGATCAATAAGCACGACACACCAGTTCACGCAAAAGCAATACAATGCAAAAGGTCAATACAAAAAAAACTGAGCAACAAGGCAGGGCGGACCTGCGGTCTGCCGCGCAAGACGATCAAGCGGCTACCTCGGCAAACTCTTCCTTCCTCTCCTGGCCTCTTGTTGAGGTTCTCTTGCAATCAAGTTCACGGTAGCGCTTCCGAAGCTGCCTGAAGATGGGGCTAAGCGAGGTTATCTAACACCAAACTCGGCAATCCGATTCTTTGAGACATGCGTCGTACAGTTCGAGCAAGGTGTTGGAGGCAAGTAAAACGATTCGGTTTTTGCGAACCACCACAATGTTCCCTCAAAGATCTTCCACTGTTGCGCAGGCTTGGAAGCTCTTGCAGGTGCGGCACTGATCCAGATCTCGCAGACAATCTAGGAGGAAATTGTAGCCTGGGCTTGATTGCAATTGGATGGATCCACGTGGCACAGGCCCCAATGCTGCAGGGGTGTTTCGATGCGATCAAGAAGCGATTTGGCCCAACGAACTTGGGGCCAAAGAAAGGATCCAGCACGAAGACAGGGCCTCAAGCAGCTGCATTGCATCGACCACCCTACAGTACGAGTAGAAATGACCTGCGACTCTTGCCCCTGAGGCATGCGCAAAGGTATTTCGCTCCAGATTTGGCTGCCTTCACAAGCCAGGATTTAGCGCACCAAGGCACAATATGATGACCTGCCTCCAAAAGCGCAGCATTGTCATGCAAGCGAAGCCCTTTGCGGAACCTTGCAAGTATGCTCGAAGCACCCACCTTCCACGTAAGTGCTGAAGCCACGCTTTCTCAGGCTGCATGCCAAGGCACCACACGACTGCCGTCCCGGTAGCTTCCGCTTTCGGCGCCATGTTCCCTATATACGTTGGGGTCAGAAGTTGGTTGGGGCTGTTAAGAATCAGGCCCGTGCATTCTGCACCAAGGCTAATATAACCTCAGAACCCCAGGTCTCAAAGCCTGAACCCCCAGTCCTCGTCATGGTTCTTCCCTTTGCATGACATACATGTAACAGACTCAAGGCAGAGCCTCGACCACAGCAAGAAGCAAGTGAAGAGACATGTTCCAAAAAGCAGCGTACCTTGCAGAATGAATCCTAGTATACGTTGGGCTACGCGCCTATGCGCGCGCGTGTGTATACATATACAATCATACATATATATATATATATACACAGGTACATACAAATAACAAACGCTCAAATGGGTTTCGCCTGGAGCGAAAGAGGGCACTGCAAATTTGGACAATGTGCATATCGGGAAAGCCTTGCAACACTAGTGGAAAGCCTGGATTCAATACCTGGAAGGCTGTAATAGTGGACACTCTGGAATGAACTGTCGGCCGACTTTGACTTTGGGAGGCTGCCGTCTGGATCGAGAAAACGAGGTGAAACCTTTGTCACCAGCTCCGGCATCAGAAAGGAAACGGTCGAGACCAGCAGGCTGATGGAAGGCTGCCAATCACTCCAACTCCTTGAGGATGTGCCGCTTCCTGAGATGCGATAGAGGAGAGGACCGGCTGAAGTGACGCAAGGTAAGCTGATCATTGGTACTTCTGTCCGGGCCACTTCATGGGTTCGTGAACGACGCTTCCCGGCTTCGAATGCTTCTTGCGATTTGTCTCCTTGCGCTGTTTCGCCTGGCAAGGAATGCCCTCAGCTGTCTCATGCTTCCGTGAGAAAGATATACTCTGTACTCTCCACTGTATACTCTATACTCTCTACTCTGCACTCTATACTCTATACTCTATAGGCAGCGGCAGTTGCCAAGGGCGAGCACCCTGCCTCCCTCATGATGCGCCGCTTATTCCCCATCGACTTGATCTGGCGGCATCAGTGACTCAAGCGAATGACAAAGAAAGATTGTAGTGATACTACTGATAATACCAATACTAATAACGATAGTAACGATAGTACTAATATGATAATGTGTATAACAATGAGAAGAATAATAATGACGTAGTAGTAATAGTGATGATAATACCTTCAAGACACTGCATCTCAGCACCGGGCCATCTTGGGGACATGCCTGTCGCGGCTCTGCTCCAGAAATGGATGTCATCCCTCTTCGGGGCACTCTTCCGGATGCGCCTGTGTCGCTTGATGCGAGCGATCTCCGGCATCCGTGCAAACTTTTTCTTCAGAGTTTCTCTGTATGCCTGGCATGGACTTGCATTCACTCGAGGTTCTTCTGAGCACTTCTGAGCCACAGAAGCTGCCTCTGCTCTCTTCTCGCGAGGCGTTGACACGCCAAGCTTCTGATCAGCTTTGGCCTGGCCGGGGCTCTGACCTTTGGTTAGTAGGGAATGGAGGAATGGGGTACAATTGTAGTAACTACTCTTACTACCATGCTTCCATTCCCTACTAACCAAAGGTATTGGTTCAGGCCACCTCTGAAACGGAAAACAGAGTGGGAGAGATGGAGAGAGGGGTGGAGTCAAGTCCTTCGGGGGGCTGCTGCCTTCCAGACCCGAATGTTCGTATCCTCCGAGCCAGAGAGCACGAACCTGCCGTCTGGGGTGAAGTGGCAGCAAAGCACTCGCCTCAGCTGCACAGTACAAGATTCAGTTGCTTCATTTTTCTGCGCTCGGGGCTGCCAAGTTGCTGCATTCGCTTTCCATGGTAGACCTGCACAGAGATGTGACAAGTGGAAATGCGCCTCAAAACCAAAACACCGAGAGCCGAGAGCCTCCTTGGATCTCTGCGCCGTGCAATTCCAGAGCCGGACGGTGTTGTCATAGCTGGCCGACACAAACTCTTGGCCTGCCACAGAGAGCAACACCGGAAATGCACACCCTGCGCTGCGCAGCGTACCGTTCGGGGCGTAGTCCACATCCAGAACGGCCATGACGTGGTCCCAATGTCTGTACATTGCTGCTGAGAGCTTGCGCATGTCAAAGGTGTACAAGCCTTGGTGCTGAGGCTCTTTCGAGGTTGCACCGGCTTCGAGGCTATGGAGTTTGGCGAGTCGCTACAATCTTCGTTCGCCACGGTGAAGCTCCTCGGCAGGTTCTAGCACAGGCAGCTGCAGCAGATGAATCATCCATTTCTGCTGAGCAGCATCGGGCGCATTGGATTCCAGCAGATACCGTTGGACCGATTCTTTAAAATGACCTCGTGTCCGGGCAACAAAACCCAGCTCTTCACGAGTGGCAAAGGACATCAGTGCTGGGACCTGCCTTCCGGATCGAGGCGTTCCCACGTAGATCCTCACGCGCGGATTCCACAGCTTCCGCTGCGCACAGGATTCTCAAACACCTGGGCTTCTGGCGTAGAGGCCTATCGACCTGTCCACCGCCGTGGATGCCAGCAGACAAGGCTCCGCAGGATTGAAGCGGCCCTCGGTGTCCCATGATTCAACTAATTAAGCCGAAGACTGAAAGCGCCCCCAGCTCTTCTAGGCGAGAGACATGAACTTACATCTGCATCCTCAACACTATGTGACCACTGCGATCGATGGCCCCGGTTGGTCTTGCGCCTATCACGCGAGGACTCGTATACATTGCTGTCATGCGTGCGTAGTACGCATGCGTGTATCAATGTATGCACGGACGTATGTAGGTATACGGTATATGGTATATATGTATGTACGCACGTACGTGTGCATGCACGCATATTGTAAGACCCTGCACGACACGATGCTCCGACGCCTTGAAACAACGGGACGACACATTCGCATGGCGTTAACAAACACCAGAATATACCTTGGTATACTGCTAGGACCACGGGCAAGTCGCCGTGATGACCCGCTCGCAACCCCACTCGAAGGAGCTCAGTGGAGTCGACCGATTGTAGTCCCACACATCCACCTCAGGCGTCCGTGCTGGGTGTACGGTTCTTAAATTAAAGAGCGCTGCAGCACGGCTAGAGAGCGGCCGTGCAACCAAGACTGTTTGACGGCACCTATTCCAACAAGCCGCCGTGTCTCCAACCGTGACGAACATAGGCCGCTGCCAATGGTGATCGATGGCCTTGAGTCAACCATGAAGGCTCAAAGTCGCGAATCGCTCTGAATTCGTTCCTCCACTCTATCGGCGAGTTGAGGTCCTTGCCCCTGGAATGTAGGCCATGTTGTACACCGCCTGCACTTTTTCGCACAGCGGCAACACCAGCCACGCCGAAAACGAAAAAAAGATCGCCTGGCCTCGGCTTCCTCCGAGATGACGGAAGCTTTGGGCTTGATGCTCCACATCTTGGCTGCCTCTTTTTGCACATGTTGAGGCTTGAGGCTGCCAGAAGAAAAGCGGCGACGGAGCTACCCTGTATATGGTAACTACGAGTACGGCAAGACGCTTTGCAGATTCCGTAGATTTTCTCCTGGGTCCTTTGGTTCCTTTAGTCTGTAAACCTGGCCCAGCTGTACCCGCAGGCTTCCCTGAGTGTGGCTGTCTCAGGATGGCCCTGGCCCCTGGCCTTGTCGTCGCCGCAGGAGAACGCTTTCCGTCCATCGGGACTCATGGTGACGCCGCGCACGAAGCCCTGCGGTTGCAGCACAGGTGTGCGGTCGCTGAACTTTTGAAACCTCGCAGTCCAAGTCACCTCATGCGCTTTGGAGACAGAGGTCCCGCAGCGAAGATACTGCCTCAGGGACGCACGAGTAAATGGCAGGCCATTCTAAGGAGAGCCACTGAGCTTGCCGACATGTCCCAAAGTCGAAGCTCCCCATCACAACTTCCGCTCCTCGTCGTTGCTCAGAAGTTGTCGACAGCTAATGTGTTCTGCGAACTTCGGCGAACTTCTCTAAAGCTTAGGCCGGCACAGCAAGGGCGCAGCCTTATGTCACTGAAAATCGGATGCAACATGCATTGTACATGCCCAGCAAACTGCTCTTCTCAGGACACCACGACTCTCGCCAGCACAGACACGATTGCCATCCGAAGATGCTTCACATAAGGATCCAACCATCCGCCGTGCAATCGCCATGCACTTGACAGAGTCCGTGTGCCCATCAAGTGCCTGCCGCTAGGTCAACACATCGCCGGAACCCCCGAGTATGAGTTGTTTTACAATTCGTATGACTCGGAGAAGCCGGCGACTGTGTTCGCCGCAAGCCCTCGTTTTGAGTGCATCCACGGCTTCAAGATAGCTCAGGACAGGTGTTGTATCTGATATCCGTGCTGACTGGCTTATACGGCCAGGAGTCATGCAAGTTAAGTAAAGGCCTTTACGAACGGCTTGGCAAAGATCTTCTCCATCTTTACCGCCTCCGAGCCCACAACACTGGCACATGGCGGGCGAAGTGATGGTCAGAAACCTTTGCAAATACTGTGTTGTGCACTGAGCCCTAGGCCTTCAAAGCTCGCTGGTACTCTCGAGCACGCTCAAAGGGATGCAAGTCTGGGTCCGCATTGCGAAAGTGGCGCGTGATGTCTCTCGACGTCGCGCCCAGGTAGTCCTGACCCAGATCTCAGATGTGGCTGTCTGTGCCCTGGTCTTTGCTGTGGAACATCCCAGGTTGTAGTGTGTACTCTACACCAGATTATCATGCCAGATTATCATACCAGATTACCAAGTCTTGCTTCAGGAAGCAATCCTGAAGGACCGGCAAATGGTGGGTACCTCACTCGATGCTACAATGAGACACAATGTTCTTGCTCACCCGAGGCTTGGTGGGGTCAGGTCTCAAACTCTATGATGCTTTACTCAAGGGGTCTGTGAAATGTGTTCAACCCAATGGAAACAAAACGAGTTGTGATATATCAACTGCAGTAACAAGAACACAATGAGAATAATACGAAGTAATTCCTGCCTGTCATCAGCATCACATCGTCGTCATCAACATATCGAAGTACGAGTAAAGGAGTAGCCATAACCGGCCATAACCATTGAAATTGCGACTAGCAACCCGCCAACCATTTATCACTGGCCCCTCCTGCTCGCTTCGCTGGAGTACCTGGCTTCGCTCAAGCAGAAAAATCAACGAAGCAGTGCCAAGCTGTGCCTTGATCTTCATGCCGACAGAGTCACCTGAAACACGAGCTCGAGGCTCTATTGGATACTGATCTGGAACGAGCGACAAGAGACCCTCAACCCTCAAAACTGAGAAGCATCTCTGAGGTACGCCTTCACGGTTTTCGCAGCATGGCTTCAGAGCAACATGCCGGAGGCGAAATCCTTCCTAAGAGCATCTGGAGCTTGCCACAGGTCTACGAGTAGGGTCAGCTAGATGAAGGCCAAGGCCGACCCGCTTGTGACTGAACCTCTGCTGACTGCCGCTGATAAAGGTTGGCGGTATGCTTGGTAATCTGCTTGAGCATGGCTGGCAGCACGTCGGAGGAGGCTTCGAGAATGCAACTTCCACATGCCCTAGAGCACGTTCTTTCAATACATCATCACGGCATGAACCAGCACGCTACACCTTCTGAGATGTATCTAAATACATATACACACGCAGCATAACATCAATGGCTATGTCAATGTATATCACAACATATACAGCATAATGTACCTGACGCAAGCCGGGCCTGAGTTCGGTGATGTGCTCGGTGAGGTGATCCTTCACTGCCCCAATGCGCTGATCCCCGTCCCCCCCAAGCAACCCCTTCAAGTGAGGCGTCCTTGCGGAGGCCATAGGCGTCCAGGACACCAACCGTCTTCACCACAGCCTGCCACTGGCATGTTGGAAGAGTGCGCCAGGCTTGTTTCTACATCCCTAACACCGAGAAGCGCGGTCTACGGCCTCCTCGGGGGCGTCTGGATCTGCAGTCTGCAGCGGTGCCACCAGCTTCTGCCAAATCAGCTCGGCTCTAGCAAGCGGTGGGGCTCCCATCTTCGAACAGAGGTAGTGCAACACGGAAACGGCACACCGAGCGGGGCATGTCGACCTCGCCTACTAGAAGAGCAGGCCTAAGGAGATACGCCGCAGGTGCCTTGTACAGCAGCTGCAAATACGGCGAAGTGGGCAAAGAAGAGCGACTCGCGAAGCAACAAGGTCCAGCCATGCACGAGCAATGTCTCTCTTCCGGGCAGCTTGCCGGCCTGGCGGTTGACGTCAGTCTCAGATGGGTCTGTAGCTCTGTGACCAGTCTCCGCATCCTCCACACATGCAGAATCATGCAACAAAAACACGAAGGAAGCAAAGGCTCAGCGTCATGCGCAATGCCCCTGTCGAATCTGTGGTGCGCTTGAAGCGCAGCTTGGCACCGGTGTTCTCTTTTTGTCATCTGCTTTAAGTAAGCAAGTGCTGCTGTGGTAGCATCTCAGAGCGAGCCGTACATGGACTTTGCCTTCGCTCCTGAGTATCGGCCACCGAGGTTGCACAACACCGGAGGATCCAAAACACAAACGAACAGTCACCAGCCGAGATGCCTTCCCGATGTGATCCCACGCTCGGCCTTAACCAGCACTAGCACAGATCGCCCCAGGAATACAATAGAGCACCCCAGCAGCCCCAGCACTATGCTCTTAGGCGAGGCACTCAGAAGTTCCTTGCATCAGCCAAAGATTGCGTCGCTTGGCCGTGACCTGTGTGGCATCACTTGTACGGCCGTCTCCCTCTGTCTATCGATAGCTCCGGACTCCGTTCCTTCCATTGCTGCAGAGGTGCGTCACTCACAACACTCAGAAAGGCCCACAAGAATCCAGCAAACATCGCCACGAAGACCTTGGTTGCAGAAAAGAGCGTTCAGGAGGAACCAGGCAGCAGTGGCATGGAAGTGAGGGCTTGACCGTGCAGGCCACGAAAACCTGCATACTGCAAAGACTTCACTGTCTGTTCCTCATGCAGCGCAGGCAGAATCAGCGCTTGCCAGCCTCTCGCGGGAAGTCTGGTGCCGTCTTGAAGCCGGATGTCTCTATCGGAGCGGAACCGGTGCGGACGATGTCGAGGACGTACCAACCTCGACGTGACGAATAGAGCCTACTCGCAAACAGTTGGAAAATCAGACGCATCGGCTGCGCTTGGACAAGCATCTATCTGAGGGCGGCCCTGTTAGCAAGACTTACAGTTAGAGCAGCGCATTGCAAACTCGGGAAGCAGAAAGACTGGAAGATATCGCACCGAGCAGCTCGAAAGAGCGAAGAAGACCAAGACCTTGCAAATGCCGGACCAGCTTCGGAGGTCTTTCTGAAGATTTACAGGTGCGGAGCCAGTGATCAGAATCTCCGTGATCCAGAAGATGCTCAAACCGCCGAGCGTGATGAGCTTGAGCCATGCGGAGTAGGTCAGGCCCAGGTAGAAGCGATCTGCGCCGATCACTCCCAGGAATACGGCCAGGAAGTATGCGGTGGTCTGAGACTTCCTCTTCGTTCGGCACTCTGGGTCGGCCCACTCGGAATCACATTTGCAGAATGGGGTAGGGTTGCTCTCAGACGTCTTCTCCCAAGAATGGCAGCCACCATGTCCACTGCACTGCAGCGTCGGAGAGAGTCCAGGCAAAGAGCAGGAGTTGAGGACGGCTTCTCTCGAGGAGGCTCCTGGAGGCACAAACTGGTAGGTTACCAGGTAGTCATCCTGCTGGCGCCAGTTCCCCACGGTGTGGGCGTTCACGAACTGGCCCATGGCCTGCCCCAAAACCTCGCAGGTACTGCAACCCTGAAGCGTCAGAGCAAGTGGTGCCAAGAGCGCAAGGAGGCAGAAGCGGCTTGACTTCCCGTCGATGGCAAAAGCCCCAAGCACTGCCGCGAGCAAGGCCATGCCGGGTCCGGCAGACCGGTGTGCAGCTCCGGTGCAAAAGGCTGAGGGCCCATCATGAGGGGCATAGCCGGAAGTTGCGAGGACCGTGGTTTTCGTCAGCGGCTTCTCGTGGTGAAACACGCACTGCACCGACTCATCGCAGCATTGCACGGCGCAGGACTTCACGTAGTTTTGGCAGGAGCTCATGCAGGGCCGGATGTACTCCGTCTCGCTACCCCGGCTGCAACCGGCCTTCGCACGAGGGAAGTAGGTATAGCAAACCATCTTCCAGATGGATTGGATGCAGTCGTCTGCATCTTGGGGGTTGGGATAGTCCCAGGCGTCCTTGCCCAGTCCAGCCAAATGAGTAAAGTAAGCGGTGTTGGCCGCGCGATCCTGCTTTCGGACCAAAGCTGCCACGCTCTTCTCTTCGGCACTCTGAGGTTCTGGTACTGCGATATCGTAGTCAATCGCCCCCTTACAGAAGCCGATGGAGAGTGCCGTGTCTTCCATGGTCGTGCAGTACCACTTCGTCGAGTTACTGAGTCGATGAAGGTCTTCGAGGCCTGGGAATACTGGGTTGATGCCTCGGCTCACCGCCAGACATGCAAAAAACAATGCAACTGTAAACCGTAGTGTTTGCAAAACGCCAAGTTGGATCCTCCAAGCGGCAGTGGTTCTGGAGGCAGACCGGGTTGTCTGTGAAGACTTCCTTTGCCGCACCGAGCGGTATCAGTGCCACAGCTGCAGCCGCAAGCGCTCTCATGGCTGCAACACTTCAGTTTATGGGGGGGGGCGCTTAGCAAGCGTGGCGAGTGAAGTCTGGAGCCACGTCCAGTCCACACTCCCTCGAGCCAAGGGCAAAGCGTGGATAACACAATGTGGAACCGACACTCGCAGCGAGAAAAATGCCATGTCACAACTGAGGGCTGGCACTTTCCGACTTGGCACTGCGAAGAACCCTAAACCCTAAACCGTCGCGCCTGCTTTGTGTGGAGTACTTTCCCAGGAAGGTTGGGAAGCTGGGAAAGGCCACAAACCTGGCAGAGCTCCTAGGCCTAGGCCTTTACAGTTGACCACTACTCATACTATATCAGATTATGGTCGATTATTAACTATCAGTGTGGTATCATAGTCATTATGGTATATTGTAGTTTGTTATCATGTTTGCTTATATGTGTGTGATGTGAAAACCGCCTGAACCCCCAAATTTAATTCTGTTTGCCACTCCGCGTGGCGCGCTGAAGTGTAGTGCAGAGAACCAGCCTCTCTCAGCTAAGGAAGACAGAGGAAAGATCCTCCACATCTGCATCTTTGCAGTGTTGTTCTCTCAAGAACATAGAAGAAAGCTCTTCCTGCACTGGGAAACCTTCATTCATCACGGAGACGCGGCAAGAATTCCTCTCAATCCTTATCAGCGCAGAAATGCAGTTACATTCCTAAGTTCCGTCAATGACGGAACAGACTTTGTATCCTATCCATGCAGGAAATATGAGAGCAAGCTTGCATCTCTGTCTCTCTTTACGTTGCAGAAAATGGATAACTGCACTATATCTTACATGAAGTTGATCATACTTGAAAATTTGTCGAGCTTCTTAGGTTTACACCTTGAAAAGACCTCTTCATACCAAAACAGACAAGAATAACCCTTCGGTGTAAAACGTAAACCTGCATGTGGCACTTATTGCCAGCATGAACGATACTGAACCGCAGGCACATCCGCGAATCGAGAAAACAGACGCCTCGGTAACAAACAGGAAGGCCATGGAAGGCCTAAATCTCTTCAAAGCAGCCCTTGTAGATCCTGACTATGAAGCTCAAGTAGTGGAGTGGAGTGGAGGGACGACCGAGACCCGAAGGCCTGGCCTGTTAGTTAGCAGTGGCATCACCTCCGGCCCGAAGGCTTAAGGATCAAACCACAACGAAAACCGTGAAAAAACATAGGGTCTTAGGGCAGGCGAACCGGGTGGCCAACCGCGCACCCCAGGCGCAAACCGGATCCATCCCGACTCGAGTCTCCATCAGCTCATTGCAGCTCGCGTAACCGTGCACTCCAGGCACGAATCGGGATCCATCCCGACAGAGCTTCCATCAGCTCATTGTCACTTGCGTAACCGCGCACTCCAGGCGCGAACCGGATCCATCCCGCCAGGGCTATCAGCTCATTGCCGATTGCGTAACCGCGCACACCAGGCGCGAACCGGGATCCATCCCGACAGAGCTTCCATCAGCTCATAGCCGCTTGCGTAACTGCGCACTCCAGGCGAGAACCGCGATCAAGCCGAACTGCTGTACCATCGACACTTGCGTAACCGCTCACTCCCCGCGTGAAACAGGATCCACTGGTAGCTGTTCCATCAGATCATGTCAAGTGTAGAAGCGCGATCACCAGGTTCGAACCGGGAACCCTCCCGCAAGAAACACGTCAGCCTCCAGCCACGAAGAGACCCAAAATGCCGGCACTGTCGCCCTACTGTTACCCCCACGCCTGCTTGCTGGGTGCTCTTCGGCCTGGAAACAATCCTAGGCCTTAGTGCCGCCCCTGGGGTCCCAGCAAGCACGCCGGCGAAAGGGTTAACAACCACAGCAGGCCCAGGGGGAAGCTCAAGTACGAAATCTTCGGCCTTCATGCGAGAGGCTGCCTCAACACACCTGATAGTAGCCAGAACGATTCGTAAAAGGTGCAACCCGAGGCCCGGATCGCGGAGCCTGCTGAACCCAAACCCGAAACCTTGAAACCCGAAGCACCCCCCAAGCCCCACTCCGCATCTTAGAAGCAGACCGGGATGGAATCACTGGCTCCGAGGACGCAGCCCATGGGTGGTAAACGCAGGATAGACGGCAGACAGGATGCCCAAGTCAGGAAGAAGGCTCCACTCCTCCAAAAACGACCACAAAGAAAGGAATGGTAAGGAGTAGACAGATACGAGTGGCGAGATAAGTATCACTGCACTTGCTTCTGTAGTCCAGGAGCCTTAACATGAGCTATCATCAATCCTGAAGTGCAAGTGCTGCATACTGGCTTACAGTATCAACGGAAACTGTAAGGTCAGGCTCAAAGCTCCTGATGCTCCCGTATCCTTGCGCCGATGATGTCCCCGACAGCCATCATGTCGGCTGAGTTGGCACACCTTCCCCAGCAGCAGCAGCAGCAGGGCAACAGCAGAAGCAGCCAATGCTGTAGGAGGTGCAGCATCAGCTGCTGCTGCTCTGGAGGTAGTGTCGGTAGTGGTGGTGCTGCTGGTCGCGGTGGTGGTGGAGGTGCTGGAGAAGCGAGTAGTCGTAGTTTTGGTGGTTGTAGCGATACCGCAGAAACACTGACAGCACCCTCCAAGACGGACAGCATCGCAAATCGAGCGCTTAGGTAGCCACCGCTGTAGCAACTCATTGTTCACCGGCCTCGGCGCTGGGGCTAATGCTGCAGCCGGCAAGCGCCAACCAAGAATCTCACCAAGAGCGAAACCAGCAACACGAAGTCTGGCACAACATCTCATACTGTGTAACGGCGACACCAACACGTGTATGATCATCACTCTTGACGCTCATAAGTCATAACCCAATCACACTCACAACCACAACAACTCGGCAGCGCAGCTTCTTGGAGATGGCATTCAAGTAGTTCTCATGGACAAGGAGGCCCATCAGGGAGTGGTCCACGAAGAACTGGCAACTCCGAGCTCTGGAGGCAGGGCTGCGGGGTTACGGATCACTACACATGGAAAGCACTGCGAAAAGGAGGCTTCAACGACCATAAGAACCCTCAGCTGGCTTTACTTGTCCTTGCTTGTCGCTCTTGTCGCGGTGGTTGTGATGGCGTTCGTAGTGGCAGCGGTAGCGGCAGCGGTAGTGGCACGCGCAGTGACGATGACAGTCGCAGCTGATAATAATAGTAGTGGTCACCGTCGTCGTGGTAGTAGTGGTGGTGGTGGTGGTAGTAGTAGTAGCAGCAGCAGCAGCAGTAGTAGCAGGAGAAGGAGGAGCAGCAGCAAGAGCAGCAGAAGCTGCTGCCGTCGCCAATGTAGAGGAGGTGGCAAAGGTAGTAGAGGTAGTGGTGGAGACAGCGGTAGTGGAAGTCGGCGTGGCGTGTTGTTGCCATAGTAACTAGTAACTAAGAGCCGCAACAGCTGTCGAGAGACATATATAAAAAGTCAATGCCTATCATCGCAGCTTCAAGAGCAAACATCCTTGGCGGACCAAGTCGAGCCGTTCTCGGAAGGAAAGCCGAGCGCCCTCCGAATGGGTGAGCAGCTTCTTACCTGGCATCAAACGACTTGATCACCAAGCCGCAAACCCTGAACCCCTAAAACCTAAACGCCAACCCGGAACCTGCATGGCCGCCCCGGATGTCACAACCAAGCAACAACTGCACGTGCCACATGGCAAGCAGCAGAACACTAACTGCAACTAGTATGGTTCTATTGCCAGCAAGCGCCAAAGCAAAGAAGTGAACAAGCATATCCAAAGATGGAACATGAGCAGTGGGCAAACGGCTGCCAAGGAACAAGCGTCAAAAGGGCCCAGCATGATGGCCTGTGCAACGTGAGGACTGCACGGCAGGGACCTCAAATGTCTGTCCTTTGATGTTCTTTGTCTCTTAGTTCCGCAACAAGCACCGGCCTGATCTTTGTTCATCTGGCGCATCTTCTCCTTCATGTCCTGCAGCAATGCGGTCGCACTTCTGCTGCAGATGGGCTCTTGCAGCGAGGCCAGTTCAAGCCAGAAGCTGCGATGCCCAGTCCATGTATTTGACACCTTCTGCCATGTGGACGTCGGACTTCGTGAGCATCTGGAGCTGATTCAGCACCTCTCGAGTCCCGAGTCCACTTCTTTCCCGTGCGCACGCGCTTTGCAACTGCCGCCTTTTCCACTGGTGACTTTCGTCATCCGAAACATTACAAAACTAAGCTAGGCAGGGAGGATGCTCACCTTAGGCGATCATGCTCATTCGGCGCCGAGCTTGGCTGATCGGACATGGCCTTTGGGGAACATGTTCTGTGCGGTTCTAGAACTGATCAACGCCAAGCTCGTGGAGGAGTGTTGCTGAGCAAAGTACCACCCTCAGATCTCTGATCCACTCGCTGTACAGCATTCAGCTCCGGTAAGCAGAAGCGACTTGCATCATGAATTCGGCAGGCAGTGCGTGTATGTTCCACCATGGAGGCCATGGTGGAATCTGCGGAGTCGCAACCTGGTACTAGCAAGCTTGGCGGACTGCACGTCACTGCATCACTGCAAGCAAGACTGGCGCCTAAGGCGTGTACTCTGTACATGGCTGTACCCACAGGGGTACATTGGTTCTCCGAATTCTTGCACGATCTCGGATTCGTCGGCTCATCGATTCAGCTGCGACTTGTCAGACCTGCCCGGAAACACTTTCCATGAAGCCCCAAATTTGAGGCCACCGGAGTCTACCGCTAAGACGCTGCCTCCGTGGAGCAACATCACCTCTTCCCCGGCCTGACATCAAGTCTCTACTTGAAAGACTTGCCGTGGACCAAACCAGCACGATACTGAGAAAAAGCCGAATCTCCAGCGGCTCCATTTAGACTAGGAATTCACCGGCTTCTCTCCAAAATCCTCGTCTGATTCATTTTGTCTAAGTTTACGAGACATGAACGTGCAATGTACTGCAGCTAATAGCGAGTCTGAGAGAAACCTTGTCAGTGCAAGACACAGCCTGTCGCTGTGAGACTGACTCCTGCCACCATGCTTGAAACCTTGACGTGGCAAGGGCATCCTCTTGCAGTCCCAGTATTGGTACCGTAGAGGCGGACGCAATAGCAGTAGCAATAGCAGAAGCAGTCGAATCTTACCCCTACTCCTACTCCTGCTCGGCTGCTATTCCTATACCGCTACTACAAGTCGTGCTTCCATCGGCCTGGGCCTTCCCCGGGTAAGGAGAGCGGGCGGCACTCCTGGGCATCCAAAGCACATCGCTGTATCCAACGAAGGAGCACGCAAGAACCCTGGAGGAGCGGAAGCTGCAAAAGCCCACCTCTAGGAGATGGAGGTGGCAGCGTGCTCGTTCTGCGAGTTCGCTGTCGCGGGAAACTTCGAGGCGGGTCCCGGGCAGTTTGTGCAGCCGGGAGCATCACCTTTCTGAGACATGGTGACATGGAGGGCCCACAAACAATGGTGGCTACTGCGACCTGCCGTGTGTACAGAATTGGAATCTAAGCATGCGCCCCAAAGGGAAGCAGAACCCTGATCAGCCCCCAGATGTGCAGCGAGCAAGCCGATCTCTTGCATGGCTCAGGCTGTGACATCGTGCTTTGTTGCGGCAAACATACCCTGCGAGCAGAGACAATGATGTGATCGTGATTTTCGTGAACCCTTCGCACGTTGTGCAGCGGACGCCTTGACCTGCTGCTTCAGGGCCGGGTCAACTGCCTGCCTGAGACTGGCACAGCCGGCAAGCCAGTTTGGAAGAGCCATATGGTAGCGTGAGGAGCTACATTTGCATCATGGATGAACTGTTTTTTCAAGGTTTCACATTTGTGACACGGTATGAATTTCAGCTCAGTTTGGAAGGACAGAACCAGACATGATGCTTAATAGTATGGCGGCTAAGACGGTTAAGACATATAGCTCGAACAAGGCACACCACGCTTGAGAGCTCCTTGCTGGTAAGCTCGCCATCTGCATCCTGACAAAGCCAGAACAATCATGAGATCAGCAAGCAGGAAGGAAAGTGCTGGTCAGCATTGCGGCCGTGATTATGCATGGCTTCGTCAACGTCATCGCCGCCTGGTCCCAGATTCGGAGAAGCTTCTGGGCATCTTTGGTACTGAGCCCACCTGCACGCACGAGACCAGCCATAATGGCGCCGTCGATGAAATTAAGCAAAAGCTGCTTGCAACGACACATTACAATTATTAAAAGCAGAAACACCACGTATCACCATGGCATACCAGGCACATCATGCCAGTGCAGTTGGCCAACGCGAGCCAGCGAACTCAAACTCTACGGCCTCGCGTGCACAGCTCTCGAGCGGAGAGCTTGCCATTGCCATCAAAATCCAATGCTTCAAAGAGTACCTGCACTAAGCGAGACAGACGAGACCGTGCTTCGATGATCTTCGGTTTCGAAGGGGTCTGCCTGGAGGTCCTCACGGCTCAAGCTGTCGACGACAGCGACTGGCTGCCGGCCACTTGCCGCCCGCTGCATTGCCATGGGATCTTCGATGCTATTCCGGTAGAACCTCAAAAGATGCTGATCAGGCGCTGTCGCAGACTTTGGTACCTCCCACACGGCCTGCTTTGTCGCATGGAGGCCCGCTTCTGCCGGAGAAGGGATGCCAGCACCTGCCCGCGACTCGAGCAGCAGATGCGACAGCGCAAAACGAAGCGCGCTAGTCCCAGACCAAAACAAGACGGCCCGTCGAAAGTGGATCTATCGCCGCTCTTGCTACCTTTCACTGTATAGGCGAACCTGGTGGGCATGGAAGCTCTGGCACCATCGCACGCAGCACTCGATGGCGCCATCACTGGCCTGTCCCAGAAGCTTTGAACTCCAGAAATTGAAAAATAAACACGACGTGACAGCTGGGAGCCGAAGCTCTCTGAGCTCCAAGCCTTGGGCCACAGCAAACACAGAAAGCTGCGCATGGAGACGATTCCTCACTGGCAGTTACTAGTACTCTAGGGTCTTTTGGAGGTGTTGGGCTTGTGGTCTTGAATTGCCGAAAGTGCCTCCTTCGCCCGCGTCACCACCGGTGCCCGGCCCACTCAACCTGAGAGCGTTGCGGTCTGCATGCCGGTGAAGACTGGGAAGACTCCGGTGGCTCAGCCTCTCCAGTCGCTCGGCGAAATCCTTTGCCAGCATCGCCTGGCTCACCTAAGCTCCGCCCCCGGGGGGGGCTCCCGGCTCGGGGCTCCCTTCGGGGCTCCCTTCTGCTCCTCTCCTCGCTTCGGCTCGGCTCTGGCCATGCTGGGCCCATGGCACTCACCACCAGACGATCTGCGCCCAGCTCATCCTGCTCGCTCGCAATGTTCTCCGCCAAGTCCCGGCCTGAATATGGAAACCCTGGGCGCAGCCATACCTTTCCCAGCCCAAGAGCGTCCCAGCCCCATAGAACACATCTCCATCTCGGGGCACGGCTTTCTTCAACAGCTGCGTTGATCATGGGGAAGACCTTGACTCGCCCCCTGCCTCAGCACTTCAACGGTTTCGCTTCTACGAAAGGCTGTAGGAGAGCCTGATGATCCATAGCAGATTTAGCCCGGAAGGATGGAATGTTCGTCATGCTGCTGCAGCTCCCTCCCTCCCGATAGAAGGAGAGCCACTCTCCACCAACAAAAAGTCAAAGTCAAATCTTGTGCACTCTTCTCACTCACAGAGCAATTGTCGCAGGATTCAGACCCTAAGTTAACTTGGGATCGCACTGACAAGGTTCATAAGCTCTGTAGCATGGATGATGCGAGGGTTCTCCTTCGTGTTGACAATAGCTTCTTGCAGGTCTACGATCACAGAGCTGAACACCATGACCACGCCTTGTCGGCAAATAGCCGAAAGCAGATCCAAGCAACCCATGCATGGGCCTCGAGAATTTCACAAAGCACAAAAACTGCCAACTCGCCGCAGCAGCACCTTCGTCAGCCCATCCCGGTTGGCTGCCCGCTGCCACGGTTTGTCGTAGTGACGGGACCTTCACAGGGCGACCACAGCCCTTCGTAAGCGCTGACTCCGACGAGAGCAGGCCTGGCGCTGGAGCTCGCGGAGTTTTGGCCGCTTTGGGGCGGCGAGGGGTCTGGAGCCATTCGGAGGTCACGCCTCAGACCTCGTCGAGAGCAGTTTCTGAAAAAGCCGAGCCCGCTGCTGCAAAAGTTGAGCCACACGCTGAGACTCGGCTCCCCCGACCGTGGGGCCTGGGTGAACTTAGCCATGGGCTCTTTCTGCTTCGCGGCAGCCGCGAACGTCCCCGGGCCTTGTGTCCTCTGGAGGCCGACGTGCCCAGGAAGTGGACGGGCTCCTGCGAAACTTGCAAGAGCCAGCTCCTTCCTGATCATATCAGCTTCAGTAGACAATGTAAGCATGACATGGATCATGCTGGGACTGGTGATCTAAGAAGGTAAACGGTGGGTCCTGTGGCATGCATGTCAACCCAGATTAGAAGTCGTAGTAGTTGTAGATTGAGAGATAAATAGTTGCAAGACTAATAATGCCAATCACCTTCCAAGACTAGCATTCTTTTCCATGCCTGGTTGCCGAATGCCAGTAACCCAAATGATGCTTATTGAAACCATTGATAACGCATGGATCCAGCAACAAGATACTATCCAGACCAAGGCACTCTGGCCTGTAGTTTGTACCATTTTACCCCTCATGAAGTAAGGACCATGTAGTTGTCGTTTCACTGCCTTTGGTAATTTTCGTGTAGGAAGTTTCGAGATCAGCGCCTTGAGGCAAAGTACGGGTCAAACGAAGTGCCACAGCAAGAAGGAACCCGCAAGGCTGCAACGAAGGAGACGGCTGTTGCCAACCCGACCCCTGCGAACAAACTGACCGCAACCAACGAGGATCAACACAGAGGTTGTGGGGATCCACTGGCATGTACGACAATTACAAGTCTTTGCTCGACCTTACAGATCGTACTCGCATGTACTAGCACCATGTAACCATAACGTAGTAGTAGGGTGACGTTCCCAGGTGTTGCTTCTCTTGGAACCACTCTATTGCAACTTACAGTCATCACCCCTAAACCCTAAGACGAAGACCCTACACCCTTAAACCCCAAACTCTAAACCCTAAACCCCAAACCCCAAAATCTAAACCCCAAACCCCAAACCCTAAACCCTACACCCAAACCCCAAAGCCCAAACCCTATTCGAGGGTCCTCATGTACATGCTTCTCGCGCGAAGGGAACGGCTCACAGAGCCGCAGCAGGCCCTGGCCAAGTGGGCTTCATTCCCCTGTGAAGGGCTATATGACGTAGAGTAAAGTGTGTTTGTGTTTGTGTCTGTGTGTGTATTTGTCTGACTGATATGATGTACATTATGCATATAGACATATCTGTGTATGTAAACACACACACACAACACACGCACACTCAGAGGTAAGGGGTCGAGGGCTTAGTAGAGGTTCGGGCTGATTCGCTAGTTCCTGCCTCGCTTCGATAGGCATAGTTCACGATCTCCCCAATGCTCACGAGCCCGGAGCCTTTGCTTTGCGGGACACAAGCAGCTCAGCAACAGGACCTGAGCTTTTCAGAGAACCTCTGCTCGTGCGGCACAGGAGCCATCTGCGTCGAAACGCTGGAACATCTCCTCGAAAGAGGTAGGTGCAGAAAACGTGTGTCGGGATATCTGAAAATCACAGCACCCACGTTGCCTGAGCCAGGTGTTCGAGTCGTCTGCCATCCGGCAGACTTGCTTTGGGAAAGAACCGCGCCAGACCTGGAGGATTTCAAGCGCTGCAGGAAACCAACTTCCGCGCAGGGTTCGTAGACGCCACAAGAACGGCCCAAGGGCGGCGCCGAAGAACACCGAACGAACCTGCGGCTCTCACACAGCTGCAAAAACGAAGTCTGGGGTAGCCACACGATCTGTGCAGGAAAACTCGTGCAAAACTCCAAGGGGATGGCGGCCAGAATGATCTCAGACTCATTGAGGCAGCCATCTCCATCCATGTCGAAGATGCTGAAAAGGAAGCTGACCTCCATCCAGATCAAGCCGAGGATGCTCTGCAAAGAGCTAGCAAGGCAGGGCACTCTGGAAATGTAGTGCTGGCCAGACATCACCACCATGGGACCTCCCAGTGCAACGACGTGTCTCAATGTGTCGCAGCTGTTGGAAAGCGGAGTCAATATGGAGCCTATGACAGACCAGAAATCCAGAAGACCGCGATCTGTATGTTCGGGCCTTCAGTTGGAATTCTTCCGGTGCGGTCTCATGTCTGTGCCACCAGCATTGGCTGCACATCTGCATCAGCTCAGCCCAGCACCCAAGCAGGAGGTCAAAAATGTCCTTGCGGGGCGTATACGAAGCCCGGTATGATAGTAGCTTTTTTTTATGTATTTACGGCACGTAGTATGTGCATGCAACAGTCTGTTCTGATGTGAACGCTACCATCCTGAAACTTGTGGCAGCTTATAGGCCACTATAGGCACCTAAGATTCCATGCGAAAGCAGCCTTCGTCAGGTGGAAGTTGCTGATTCGCAGAATCTGCCCCAGCTGCCTCCCAGAAAGACGCAGCTCCAAATACAGGGTCAGGGCATCAGGACGTCGGATTTACAGCACAATTCAAAATCACACCACAACAGTTCCGATTTTTTCGATTCACCTCTCGATCATGCAAGGGGTTTAGGGTTTAGGGTTTAGGGTTTAGGGTTTAGGGGGGTGAGCTTTGATCACCTGACTCAGCGGTGCTCAGGGCCTGCAGTTCACCGCATGCCCGCCGGCAGATCGGAAGTTCTCAAAAGAGTGCCGCAAATCCTGCAGGCCACAGCATCACAGTGATATGATAGTAATATGGTAGTAATATGGTAGTAAAAAGATGGCAATATGATAGTAATATGGTAGCAATATGTTAGTAATATGATAGTAATATGATAGTAATATGGTAGTAATATGGTAGTAGTATGGTAGCAGTATGGTAGTTATACTTGTAGGACCAAGAACCGACGCCGGGACGTGGAGGCTTTCTATGTCAATCCCCTGAGCTGCTACACCCCTCCTCTCGCGACCAACTTTGAAGATGTGTCAAGCATCCGTGGGCAACCTCGTGTAAACCAGACGATGCTGCTCCAGCTGCTGGACCTTCAGTGCTAACGGGGCCTTCGTAGAGCCGTCTGCTGCCCAAAACCGGTCAACTATGCCTCACGTAAACGGCAAACACTGACGTCGCTATGGTGCCAGAACGTCTCGGAATCAAACAAAATATCACCTGCCTCCCATGCGTCAAGCGACTGGATGGGAGCAAGAGGGAGAGGGAGAGGTAGCATTGATTCAGAACGTGCAGCTTGAGCCCAGCAAGCACAAAGCGAAAGCTGCTTTCATCGAGCTGCTTGTATCTACAGCAGACTCTGTAACTCGGAGCGACCGCTGGTGGGGCTGGCACCATGCGCATGTCACTGCCACACGACCTCACCGGAGCTCGAGTGGACTCTGACACCGGAAGGATCCGCATCGGCTTCAAGGAAGTCCAAGTCTTAGACTCTGCCAGGGCCTCCAAAGCATTCGTCTCCACCTGCGAAGCTGGAACTTTGAGTGACATTGCCGAGCCGCATCAGCAGCCTGCAGACCGGTTGAAGCCGAAATCTGCGCCTGAGTTTTTTAAAGTGTGGACACTCCTTCTCTTAGGCTGTCATTCCCGAGCCCGGAACGCAGCGCTGCGCGACTGTGTTCTTAGTCGGCCTGCCGGCACTTTCTAACACTACACGCAGACCAACAGACAAAAAAGCAGGCAGGCAGGCATGATGCAAGCGAAAGTACTGGTTTGCAGGCGCATTGACTTTCTCGCCCGAAACATACACACAGGCACGCACGCACAAAAATACAGACGGTTCTGCTAAGATATTCTTGCAACATTCGAAGCATCCGGCGGAGAACGAAACTCCTGGCCTGGAAAACTTTAGATCGTAGCAACTGAACCTGCATTTCCAGCTTCAGTACGCAACATGCACACATGCCCCGCCTCTTCCAACAAGAGCCAAAAACAACTGAGCTCTCGACGCCAAAGACCGAACCTGGAGCACACTTGGACTACCCTGAAACTCCCTAGAGAAATCGAACAAAAAATTGCCTTCGGGCTGTGCGAATCGTTGCAGATGCACATGATGGGATTGCGCGTCTTCTTGATCATCCTGCCGGGGCTTTGGGGGGGACAAAGAGCACGCTATAAGATGCTTCTGATGCTGGTGTATACTCACACTACTATACGAGCAATAGTAAACTACATCACATGTAAGCACGACATACTAGTAATATACTGCAGCATATTGCAATATACTGTACTGCAATACTACTTTCACATTGGCTGGTCCTGCCCAAAGCTGCCATGCCTCCCCGGTCACCGGCACCCATACCATCCACCTCGCCGGACGCCATCGCGACAAGCGCACGGGGAGTGTCAAAGGAGCTATAAGAAGGGTTAGAAGTCCTCTAATATAGTTTAGAACTATAGTTACCCTACCTATAACCCTACTTATCTAATATAATTGAAATTATAGTTACCTACTTATAACCCTACCTATGAGCCACCTCATCCATGATGATGATCGCCTTCTTGGTCAAAGCCGGCACCTGCTACACCAGCTCATGTACAGCAATATCAGGTTGCAGGGCCAGCACAGTAAGGAAAAACCGTCTTTTACAGCTACAGAACGGCTAAATTACGGGACCTTGCCTGGCCTTCTTTGCACCCACATCGCCGAAGCTGAGGGTTCGGTTGTCGGCAATACCGGAGGCCATGTCCTGGAAAAGACACTCTGATAATAATTGCGGAACGAGTGTTCTTGATTTGGGTACCTGCCAAGTCTTAAGTCTGTCCCAACTACTCTTGCATTCTGCTCAGGGTTATCGTGCAGTGCAAAAGGCCTGGATGATCTTCTGTCCACGTGCATCGGAAGCATTGAACTCGAGGACCTGGGTGCACAGATACGCCACGACCCTCCGCGTCCCCCTGAAGTACCACCATGCCTCGTAGCCGCTGTGGAGCTTGGCCACAAGCCGGCCTTAGAGGCGAGCGCACATGAGCTTTCGGCACAAGTGCCAACTTTGTCCGCCATTGCTGAGCCGCATATGCAAACATCCTAATTACTCAGGCCGGTGCAGGTCGTGGTTTTGCCGATACCAGGTGGGCCACTGATCAACGCAGCCCGGGCATTGATGTTCTGGCCACGAAAGAAGGTAGCTGCAGTTGTGTCCATGTCCTCGTTTCCTAATTTTGTCTCTGCTTGCGTGGCTGGTCCCGCCTCTGGCATGCCACCGCCGGGTTTGAAAGGCGCCTTCTTGGTCCTGCCTTTCAAAACCACCTGGACTCACACGATGTTGTCGTGCATGTCTGCATGTGTCTGTGCATGCATACATACATACATACATACATACATACACATATATGCATTTGTGTTTATTGTATGTCTGCTGAATCATGCATATATGTATATTGTGTGTGTATGTATATCTATATATCTCTATATCTTTATATATCTATATATCTTTATATATCTATACATCTTTATAACTATATATCTGTATATCTATATATATATATACACACACCTATATTTGCATGTTGAATGTATGTTTATACATATATACATATGTATATATATATATACATATATATACACATGTACGTATAGCGTGGTGTGTATATGTATATATATACACACATATATATGTGTGTACACGCATGATATATTACATCAGTTGCGATACCCTGACGGGCACTGACGTACATGTTTGTATCTCAGAGGACGGCATCGTCCCAGTCTCGAAGCCATTCGGTCAGCTTCCTGCAGCGGCCGACGGTTGTAATGAACCCTGCAGGCATGCCAGAAGCCGGGGCCTGACTATGCTGGCGTTGCCCACAAGCTGGTCAAGCGACTTGGGCGCAAAATGATCGACCCAATTTTGGCAGACGGGGCCTGGACGCCCCATGCCGGCATGAGCAAGTTGAATTTCCGCTTGAGTCGATCATGTCCGAATCCCATGGCCCGTCCACGCCTGTTTTAGGCACCTGCACAGTCGCTTCCTCGAACCTCAGAACACTCTTCAGCGTTAAAGTTTGGCTGCATCAAAAAGTTACTGTGAGCTGCTTGCGTCGGCAGTGTTGCTCTGGCAGCACATGCGTCAGGCAGCAAGGCCAGGAATTGAGCCTGATGCAGAGCGCGAGATAGGGTCAGCAACAGAAGGCGGCGAGGGCTGCCTCCGTGAGCAGTTCCGGGTGCTTCTTCCCCTTTTCTTTCAGCTCCATCATCTTCCGGTACCTCTGCACAGGGCTCCAGGGCTCCGGCGCTCTGGCTCGAATCCCAAGGCCCCGGGGGGACACTTCGAGGTCTCTTCGACGGGTCGGCCATCATCCAGTCTGGAACCGGCCTGAGTCCAATACGATATGTTCATGATACTATTGTTCGAGACCTTGGCTTGGGCAGCTTGGAAGATCCGTCTTTAGGATCCCACCACCAAGTACTGCACGTTGCCAGAGACGCCTGACATCACCTGGCAGAGGCATGCCAAGAAAGGTATCCCTAAACCTTAATTCCGTATAGATCCCTTTAAAGGAACCCTTATGGATCCCGTTAAAGGGAACCCCTAAACCCTAAACCCTGTTCCTCTCCTTGCAGCGCCTTGGCACCGGCTGCCTTGGCTTTCTCCTCGGCATCTTGGCGTGTGATTGCATCCATCTCGCCCGTGAAGACCATCGTGACACCTGAAGCTCCCAGCCATGGCCAAGTGCAGCATCGCATATCGCAATATGCAGCGGCAGCTATATATACACCCCTAGCGATGAGCCATCGCGCCTTCCAGGGGCAATCCAGGCTTGGCGTCGTTGACCTGGCCAAACGGAAATTCGGACAACATCAGAAGTCAAATCGCCTTGGGGCTTTGGGATCATATGGCTGTGGGGTTTACGCTGTGGGGCCTTACGGCTTTAGCTCACAGCTTCGGCAGTGAGGAGCCGTATACGTCGTTGACTTTATATATATATATATATATATATATATATGTATATATATATATGTATATATATATATATATATGTGTATATATATATATATATGTATATGTATCTACAAAAGATTATAACATATAAGAATCTGATGCAGTATAATGTAACATAATGTAAGACAATGTTATATAATGATAGTGTCACATAATGTAAAATAATGATACTGCAAGATAATGTGATACAATGATAATTTCATGTAATATAACCAATAAAATGTAATACAATGTAGTACAATGTAAACCAATGTTTTATAGCATACTATAATAATGTAACAAAGTATATACAATATAATATAGTATACTATAGTTCCTTGTTATTAAATACATATATATATATATATATACATATATATATATATATATCCGGAGGTATATTAGGGCACGCTACAGTAGCGCTGGCTTCTTCTTTAAAGCGTCGAACCCCGTGCTTTGACGAGCGCAGAGAGGGGTGCGCACCACTGGCGCATCTGAGCCGAAGGTTGGCTCAGGTTGTCCCTGCGAGGAGCTACTACCCATGGGCCCCATAGTAGTTCCTTTTTGGGGCTCATAATTAGGGCTCATATTTAGAATTCTATAAGGTCATTGATCCCAAAAAGGAACTGCCCTGGGGCCTATAAATAAAGTGCAGTGTAGTTACTGAAGCATGAAAGAAGCACCTGGGTGATACCAAACCACTATAACATTTTACAGCATGCAACTGCGATTCGAATACTTCCTGGCGAAGAAGCGAAGACTGCCTCTTGAGATGTGGATATGTGATTTTTGTCTAAACGCTATGCTATGCTACGCTCAGGTCTGCTGACGGGCAAACAGCCCTCAGAACGCCGCCGCCAGGGCCGATGATGCCCGGGCTCTGCCACTCAACTGGCAGCAGGTGAGCTGGGGTCCAAGTCTTTATGACAAAGCTTTATAGCATTGAGGGGAAAGAAATGAGGCTTTTAGGAAGAAGGAGTTGAGGGGAAATAGCTTTGAGTCAACTTGCCGATGGAGTTTGAGAGCGTTGTAGGATGCTGTAGCCTCATTCGCTGCACATCGGCCTCATCCCGTTGCTGAGCCGCCTTGCTGCAAGCTCGGAGCACCACCTGAAAAGCGTGAGAACTGACAGCAGATCAGGTTTGTCCTGGGCTTCCCGGATTCTTGCCTTGGGCACTATCAAAAGGGCAATGGCGGAAGCAGCGAGCAGCACAAAGCCTGCGGCGTCATATCACTCACATCACTGAAAACTACACCACGACACCAGGAGCTCCAACGGATCTCAAGCAAGAGACTGACTGAACCTTTGCTTCTCTCTGGCCTTTCTCAAGCTTCACGTTGGCACCCACACACGCTTCTCGAGAGAGCTCCCTGAAGAGTGGTGACAGAATTCCATGCCATCACGCTGCACGGCGCCGCTTCTCCGGCCTCTCCATCCACGTACACGCTTCGAGCATAGCACCCTCGTGAGTAAAGTACCTGGCGGCGGTGCAACTTGTGCAGGGGCCAAGGCGAAGGCGAAGGTGACAAGCGCATTGAGACATTCGACAGAGATAACCCATAAGCTGTGCTGGCAGAACGTCGTCATCTTTCCGAAATCCAGGGCTGCGATGGCAACGACAGCCACGAACACCTGAATGAATAGCATGACATGTCTGTTGCGAAGCTTCTGAGATTTGCGGACTTTGCGAAATTCGACAAAGGCGCATCCAGCGCCACCCAGGCATCAAGAGCATATCCCAACCTGTCACTTGACGTTGGCCCAGATATGCTCTCAACAGCGACCAAGCAAGCTGAAGCACTTCAGCAACGCGTTCTGCGTCTGGGGCTGCAGTGGCAATATCCAAACCTAAGTGCTGCACGTTTTGAGAAACACCAAATCTCAACCCTGGGATTCTAACCCAGGCAAGGCACCGCCCACAGCACGCCTGCAAGGCAAGTCTACATCTAGAGCAAATCCTGAAGGAGCTAGACAATCTCGGCCTGCTAGCAGCATCGGTGCCATCAAGGAGGTGACCAGGAAGGTCACTTGCAAGAGCCTCCAAGGCAGTTCAAGACTGAGATCAGTACACTGTAGCGAGGCGCTAAGCACCCGGCCTCGAGCCCACTTCTGCTGCCGAAACGTCTGGAAACTGCAGTACAAAGCAGCTTTCAAGGACGAGAGCTCAGCTTGCTGCCACCGCGGCTACTGCCACCACCACCACCACCACGACCACGACCACCAGTACTTCTGATTACTGCCTACTGATTACTGGCTACCACTATAATGATGCCACTACTTCTACTCCTCCTTCTCGTCCTCCTCCTCCTGCTCCTACTTCGACTCCTGCTCCTACTTCGACTCCTGCTCCTGCTCCGGCTCCGGCTCCGGCTCGCGCTCCCGCTGTTGCTCCTATTGCCTACCGCTCCTGGCGTTGGCTACTGCTGCTGCTACTGCTCCTCCTAGTGCTACTTCGATGCCGGCAAGACAGCCTACTCGCGATGGTATATACTAACAACAAGGATCATGATCCTGAGGCTAATCCGCTGCTCCTGCAAGTGCCAGGTGTACCCCATTGCACTGCCATGCACTGCCCTTTCTCCGGCTCCCCTACTACTACTGCCAAAAAGGTTGTTCGAGCGTTCTTTCAGCCTTCAAAAGCTACTGCTTCTTCTTGGGAGCCTGCAAGCCGAAGGAGAGCAGGCTGTAGCTCCTGATGTACTCCAGTCGAGCCTCGGCAACTTGACACTGATACACTTGCACGAGTGCGAGTGTCAAGATTTACAATGCGCCACAAGAAAAAATCAAACAATAAGAGTCATCAGTATCGTAAAGGCAAGCGCAAAAGTAATCATACTGACATCACACTTGGCGGCATTACAACTCTAAGAGTACG